GAAATAAAACAAACAAACAAACAACTTGGCTTGTCAAAATATATATAAGTTGTGCTGTAACCGGATAACTATGTTCTCTGATAGTGATTGTCAGCCTACAGAAAAATCCTTAAAGAAACCAAAAACCTAATACCTTTGTCTGCAGGTAAATAGACAGAAAACCCGTCTAGTTGCTCTTAGGTAAAAACAACTTCAGGTCTGTGAAGACTTGTGAATTTCCCTGCAGGAGGTTAACTACCCTGCGTTTAGGTAGAGAAAACTCCAGCTCACAAAAGACAATTACCTTTTCTCTCTGCTCTGGCTCCCAAGCAGAGACAAAAAAAACTCTAACTGCTTTCAGCTTAAAACCTGCTTTCCAGCAGCCCAAAGGGAAAAAATATTTCCTTTTAAAAAATCTGTGCTTCTGGTTCAAAAAATCTCAAATTGATCTCAAAATGATTTCAAGTTAATCCCACCTCTCTGCCACCATGTCAAGGTTCCTTCCCCACTCTGAACTCTAGGGTACAGATGTGGGGACCTGCATGAAAAACCCCCTAAGCTTATTTTTACCAGCTTAGGTTAAAACTTCCCCAAGGTACAAATTATTTTACCTTTTGCCCTTGGACTTTATTGCTGCCACCACCAAGCGTCTAACAAATATATAACTGGGAAAGAGCCCGCTTGGAAATGTCTTTCCCCCCAAAATCCTCCCAAACCCGACACCCCCTTTCCTGCGGAAGGCTTGATAAAAATCCTCACCAATTTGCATAGGTGAACACAGACCTAAACCCTTGGATCTTAAGAACAATGAAAAAGCAATCAGGTTCTTAAAAGAAGAATTTTAATTGAAGTAAAAGAATCACCTCTGTAAAATCAGGATGGTAAATACCTTACAGGGTAATCAGATTCAAAACATAGAGAATCTCTCTAGGCAAAGCCTTTAGTTACAAAAAGACACAAAAACAGGAATATACATTCCATTCAGCACAACTTATTTTATCAGCAATTTAAATAAAACAGAATCTAATGCATATCTAACTAGATTGCTCATTAGCCCTTTACAGGAGTTCTAATCTGCATTCCTGCTCTGGTCCCCACAAAAGCAACACACAGATAGAGAGAGCCTTTGTTTCTCCCCCTCCTCCAGCTTTGAAAGTATCTTGTCTCCTCATTGATCATTTTGGTCAGGTGCCAGCAAGGTTATCCTAGCTTCTTAACCCTTTACAGGTGAAAGGGATTTTCCTCTGGCCAGGAGGGATTTAAAGGTGTTTACTCTTCCCTTTATATTTATCACACACACACACATACACACAAAATATAACATGCACCTATAACACAACATTAGACATCTTGTTATGCTGAAAGAAGTTGGTGGCTGCCAAGCAGTGGGTCTTATATCCATTGGCAATCACAGATGTCATTAAAACCAATTGTTATTCTAGCCAACTTGAGCCTGAAATTTATGCTTTGCTCAGGATTGTTAGCAGCTCTCTCAAATCAATGCCAATACTGTGGCTTCCAGTTTTGGTGGGCATCGCACTAGCCAACATCAGCTGAGATGCTACTGTGGTCTGGGAGTACTTGCCTCAGTGGCAGAACCAGGTTTTGCAACTGCGGGAGAGCAGGGGTGATGGTAGGAAAGCTGGGTGGGTAAGGATGCCGGGGGAGGGGAAGGTTGGGGCAGCTGGAGTGGGGTTAGGACACGGGGGATGGAGAGGGGCAAGTGCAATAGGGCAGGGGACAGATGAGGGGCAGGGATTGCCATTTAGCTGGTCGCTGCCTGACCTGTGTGGGGAGCCTTGCCCTTGGACTCAGCCCCGGAGGAGCCACCGGGGACCAGTCTAAACTGTGGGCTCCTCCTGGGCTCTCCCCACCCAGCTGGACCCTCCAGCTGCATGGCCTGTGCCAAGCTCTCTGTGGGTGTGTTAGTGTGCACACTATGTGCGCACTGCTGATGTGCATTCTCCGTTAGTTAATGTGCGTTGATTTAGTCCCATTGCAAAGACGACTAGATCAAAGTGCATTAAGGAACTATTAATTAGTATCTGGGTGCACACAGACAGTCTGCACTATGGCAGGCTAGTGCGGGGTGGATCACCTCCCAGTGTGCTGAGAATATGCCTCCATAGGCAGTTGCTTACCTTGCCTATCTCTAGAGGGGCCTTTGTGCCTAATATGCTTGAAAAGGCACCACACATACACCTCTGGTCTGTCTACACAGCAAAAAAAAGCCCACAGCTGGCCCGTGCCAACTGACTCAGGCTCGCAGGGCTCAGGCTGTGGGGCTGTTTAGCTGCTGTGTAGATGTCTAGGCTAGGGACGGAGCCTGAGTTCTGGGACCTTCCCACCTCGCAGGGTCCTAGAACCCGGACTCCAGCCCACGCCCAGATATCTACACAGCAGCGAAACAGCCTCGCAGCCCGAGTTCTGCGAGCCCAAGTTGGCTGGCATGGGCCAGCCTCAGGTGTCTAGTTGCTGTGTAGACATATCCCTAGAGACCACTGGGCGGACAGGTGGCTTCCCTCCCATTAGCTTCACCACTGGCTCCCCGGTTCTTTCTATGCACTGGGATATGCCAGCCCTTTAGCACCCTGTCCTCCCAAGCGTGACCATCTAGAACACAAAGAAAAAGAAAGCACCCCCAGGAGGGAGATCCTGTAGTCCCCAGCTCGAGCAGTGGGCACTCCATCTCCACTACTACCAGTCTTGGCTAACCGCCTGTCCTTCCAGATACCAAGTGGTGGAGACTGAGCAGGCTGTGCTAACAGCACCTGCCCTACTCATCTAGCAGGGGCTCAGTGAACATGTATGGGCCCCATTCGAACAGCGGGGCGGGATCTGCTCGTTAAGAACTGGTGTGATTAGAGTTATGCCAAATCTTGATAAGGAAGCATAGCAAAAACAGGCTCTATTTTTCCTTTTGGTTCCAAAATGAAAGACTGGAGCCAGTTAACTTTCACACTCTTTCTTCTGCCCGGCAACAGCCCCATCACCCTCCCATCTCTTCCCTACCCCTTCAGCTAATGAAGGAGCCCTTCCCAGCTCTCTAGATATTTTGTCTCCCAGTTGTCCTCACCTCCATAGCTCCAAAAGAGGCCCTTTTCCCCTGCAAGCAGGCAGATCCTTGTGCTTTCTACCTGCCTTGCTGATGAGCCTCTTCAGCACAGAGCCATTCTGGACCTCATGCTGGTTCTGCCTTGCACCAAGCTGCTGCTACTGCATTGATCTTGATGCACCTGCTGTTACTTGGCCTGAGACAAGGGACAGGACTTGGCCATAGCAAGAGGTAGTGTCTATTCCCAGGCAGGGCCAGGGGTGGAGGAGTGGTTCCCAAAGAGGATGAGGTAAATTGGCTTGGGGGACTGGCTCCACCCAGGATGAAATCCTGACTAAAATGAAATCAATGGCAAAGCTTCTATTAACTTCAGTTGAGCTAGGCTTTAATCCCACATGCCCCGATTCAGATCTCTGCCCCTGACAAGTACAGACCTCTCCCCTAGAATCCTCCCTCCAAATTTTTCTTAGTCCAGGAAACTGGCCAGAAGTGATGGTGCAAAACACTTAAGGTGACCAGATGTCCCTATTTTATAGGGACAGTCCCAATATTCAGGGCTTTGTTTTACATAGGCACCTATTACCACCCACTCCCCACCCTCTGTCCCCATCGTTCACGCTTGCTATCTGGTCACCCTAAAAACACTTCAAACCTGACTCCTGTCTTAAGGGCTCAAATAAAGAGTAGAATGTTTGTTATTTTAAAGCACTCTTTTTCGCTGTTTACAAAAAATGTTTGAGTTTCTTTGTCCAGGAGGAGGGTATATCCGGGAAACTATAGTGATATAACCATGCATTACTTCCTTAAAACAAATCCGAAAGAAAACACCATTGCTATATGGTACTGATCACTTCCCTCAGTCTGCTCTGTGAACTTGGAATGGCATCATTCTTAATTACCATATAGGAACAGTGGAAGTGGGAAAGTTGTCTTTCATTTTGATTAAAGGTGTCTTATGTGTCTAACCAATGATCAGTGCTAATGCACATTTAGGAGAGATGGATCTCATTAAGCCTATAGCTGTCTATAAAAAGGTACATGCATGACTGGAATTAAAACGATGCTTTCTCACTTCCTTTTTTGATATCACAGAACTCTTCACCCACATTTACTGATACTTCAGACTCTGGCAATAAAATCATTTCCTGGATTGAATGGCATACTGCACAAAGGCCAGATGCAATGTACTTAAAGAAAAAAAAACCCACCCTGTCACATTAAGAATACTACTTAAGTCCATCTTTTCCAGTATTATTAGTCTAAATTACTTGAAAAATAAACTGCTAAAAATATCAGATGCAGTGCCTCATGCTAAACGGTCTAGCATCTACTCTAACAGTAGGCCCTGCCTCCTTCTGCACTCTTGAGTTGTAAGGATCTCATTTGGTATAAAAGCATAAATAATATGCTTGATAGCAAAGCCTCTAATATTGAAGTCATAGGTGCAAAGAGGAATGTGTGTTGCCATGAAAACAAATACCCGTCTAAGCTCTCCCCTGCGGTGCTTCACTGCTGTTATGAAATCTAACTGAAGAGAGCTAGAGTTTTTTCATTACTATTTTTTCCCCTCACACCCGCTGCCTGTTGAAGTGACGACATAAGAACGGCCATACTGGGTCAGACCAAAGGTCCATCTAGCCCAGAATCCTGTCTTCCGACAGTGGCCAATGCCAGGTGCCCCAAAGGGAATGAACAGAACAGGTAACCATCAAGTGATCCATCCCCTGTCGCCCATTCCCAGCTTCTGGCAAACAGAGGCTAGGGACACCATCCCTGTCCATTCTGGCTAATAGCCATTGACTATTCCAGCAAGTCTAGGAACTATTCCAGCAAGCTTGTATTTCAATTAGAAATGGCTGGGCTTTAATACACATCCTGACTGCATGTACACCGGTGTGTGGCAGCAAATCTGTTGCAGCAGTACATACATACTTACTAATCCTACTGTATGTTTTTTGCTTACCAGAGTAGAAGCTCTGAGAAGCCTTTGACTGACATCATCCCCACAGTTCCCCTCCCTCCCCACGGTAAGCTGTCACCCCTGAAATGGCTTATGGTAAGAAAAGGCACAAACTCCAAACTAGTATAAATGAGGTGTTTCTGTCAGGCAGCAGCTGAAACATGAGGGGAGACATGGGGACAGGCCACGTGGTTTCTCTGCCCACTGCCACCAGGAATAAAGATTCCCCAGGACGGGAAGTGTCTGAGAACAAACCTTCACTTTTTTTTTTTTTTTTTTTACAATTAAAGAAAGTTTTCCTCTCTGCTCTCAGACTGAGGCTCACTGGTCTCTTATGCGGGAGGGCTGCCCAGAGTGAAGATGCAATAATGAATGGTAGCAGGGGTCAGGGGATGGTGGTAGGTTGAGTGAAACATTGTCAACTTATTAGTTCTGGGCTTCGGACAATTGCTTATTTATTTTTGTTTTGTTTTGTTTTTTAGAGTGTAAACTCTTTGGGGCAGAGGTTGGCGTCTCTTCAGTGGGTGAGATTCCATAGCCCAAGAGAGGGGCACCTGAGGCAGCTTTAGGATGGCCTTTGTGCTTTCCTAATCCTGGGCTTCTCTGAGGACTCAGGAGGCGCCTGGCATAACATAGACAGTCCGGAGGGCCTTTCTAAGTTTCAGCAACCTTCTCAACCTATGGGCTGCAGCACCGCCTGGAATTTCTGCAGCACCACATGCTGGGGCCCTGCCCCTGACATATCCCTTCCGCCCTCAGCTCTGCCCTGACATGTCCCACTATGTCAGGGCTTCCAAGGGGGCTCTAGGAAGGTAACCTTAGGTCTGTCTCTGCAAAGTCTGCACCAGAGGAATCCTTCCCTGGCTGCAATTGTGGGGCCCCCTTATGCTGCTCTGGCCTTTTACCTGGTGAAAAGGGACTGAAGCAGGGCTCAGGACCTTACCCCATGCTTGTACAGTGCCTAGCACAATAGGAACTCACGCCTGGGTGAGGTCTGTAAATGTTACCTGTATTCAAATCATATTAAATCTCAGGAAGAGTCCAAAAGTGTCTGATGCAGCTGGATCTTTTGGAGTGTACTTAAGTCATCACTAATTTCAAGTTGCTGATCTGAGTTTCACTGACATCCAAGCCGATTTTGGGCTTGACATATCAGCACAAACAAAAAGTTTGAAAATACAGTAATTTACTTCAGTGTTTTCAGCAGTGTTGCTTTTTCTCCCAGGCAGTGATAGTGGTGTTATTAAAAATTAACAAATATCATGCTGGTCCTGTAATCTTTCTGGTAAAGTGCAAGCCATTGGAATCCAAATGAAAAACTGGTCTGGGTATCATTAAGGTATGGATCTTACGCAGCATTTACAGCTGGTTTAATGAGATTGCTTCTTTAAATAACCATTTGGGAAAAAAAAGTTGTATGTCATCATTTTATGAGTTCCTTCTCATCTGGGAATCACTGCAATTAAAACAGACTTGTCAAAAAGTCTTTAATGGTCTTGACTTTTAACAGCGTTCTCGCCAGTAAAGGAAGGCAGCAACAGCAGGCTTGTCATGAATCTTTAAGAGAATATATAATTAGATCTATTAAAATGTTCTGGTTCTAGGAAAGGCTGTCTCAGTTAGGTTCCCAAATGTTGAGTATGATAAATCTTTGATTGCTCCTAATGTTTAATTTGTTTCAAAGACAAAGGGCCAAACCAAAAGAGAGTCTCAGCTGGTTTACACTTCCTTCCAGCCCCCTCAGCTTGTATGTGACACTGACAGACTCCCTGAGGCTCTCCCCAAAGAGTACCCCTCTGTGCAAAATCAACTAACACAACTAGTGCTACCAAAAGAATACAGAGCCCTGGCCACAAGGGCCCTGCATGATGACTTTGGACATTTGGGAATGGAGAGAACTCTTGAACTTATTCGTAATAGGTTCTACTGGCACCGGATGGCCAAGGACATGCCAACTGGAGCCGCCAGGGTTCCTTTTTGACTGAGCATTCCGGTCGAAAACTGGACACCTGGCAACCCCAGCTCTTACACCAGTGCCGATGTAAACCATGTCAGAGAAGAAATGGGCCCATAGCATGCACTCCTTTTATTCTTTAATTGGGATTTTAGACATAACTAGAAGACTGATACAAGATGACAAGTTTAAAAACTTGCAGTAGTTTAATGAACTGTTCCTAGAAGATTTGGTTAATGCCTAAACTTGGTGTACCCTGTAATTAAAATAATAGCATAACAGAACCACAGGATTAGAAAGCACTGCAAGGATCACCTAGTCTTACCCCCTACCATGATGCAGGATTTAGGTGAATTACTGCAATTTTGACTTAAATAAAAGTGAGGATAAAAATATCTTTTTTTTTATATGTAGCTGTGCATTGAAGTCACATGTAAAGTGTGATGATTAAAGCATAAGTGGCTTGATGTTGTAGTCTTTATTCAGGCAAACTCCCACAGAAATAAATGGGTAAATACATTTCTGAATGAGGACTGTAGAATCAGACTTAAAGAGTCATATCCTCAGCTGGTGTAAATGGGTGTAGTTCCAATGACTGAGAGCAGTGTGATTTCCCAGCTCATCTACACATGCTCATGGTATTTTTTTTAGTTTAATACAAAATGTGTCAAAAGTACAATATATAAAAATACAATCTCTTTTTTTTGTTAAATATACTATTAGATTGTAATAATAATACTAGAGAAAATTAAAGCATTGTTTAATGTACTGATTCTCCAGAAATTAATTTATTTTTCGTTATAGCCACTTTCAAAAAATGTTTTGAATGGAAGAGCCAAACATATCTGGAATTCTAATCTTCTCACATTATGGTAAAGAATTATTTCATGTAACACAATGAAGTATATAAAAAGGGTTTGCTTCCACATTTTTGTGAGCATTTTTATAAACTTCTAACAATCGAAAAAATATTATAACTAGACGTAGGACCCATATGGCAGTATGATATAAATTCATAAAAGTATGGATGGTCTTATTCTCTTACTCATTATTCACGTAGCTGAAGTTGCGTAACTTAGATCAAAACTTCCCCCCACTTCCCCAGTGTAGACCAGGCCTTACTTTGGTATAACTACATTGCTCAGGAGTGTGAAAAATCCACATCCCTGAGCAACGTAGTTATATGGACCTAAGTGCTGGTGTAGACAGCGCTATGTCGGTGAGAGAGCTTCTCACACTCACATTGCTACCACCTCTCTCAGAGGCGGACTAACTATGCTGATGAGAAAGCTCTCTCCTGTTGGCGTAGAGTGTCTTCATTAAAGCACTACAGTGGTGCAGCTGTAGACCTGCCCTCAGGCCTTGATTCAACAGTACTCTTAAGCATGGACTTAAAACTTTAAGCATGTGTTTTAAGCCCCATGGACTTCATTGTGCAGCCTGACATCTGGGACCAGGAGCAGAGAGCCCAACAAGGTAGGAAGCTTTTGCCAGCAACAGCTGCAGCAGCAACTAGATACAAGCCTGCGGGGCTGTGAGGTAGGCCTTGCATCTTACGTACCAGCACAAGGAAAGCAATATGTGCGACATCTGGATGAAAGTCCAGAGAAGCTCTCAGCGAGCCAACAGACTGTGGAGTTGAGCCTTGGGTAGTAGGTCCTGCAGAAGATATCTATTTGTCTTGAAGAAAAGAATAGCACCCCAGGTACCAAGCCTGAGGACCCCTATCACTCTATTATCTGCCCCATACAGCCCAGGTAAGAATTATCTTTAACTTCTGTGGTAACTAAGCTGTTGTTAATAGGATATTTTCAAGCTTCTTTTCCAAAAGCCCTACATGTAATGAGTAATGTAGATTTCAGTGTCATTAAATAATCTACTTAAATATGAAAAATGAATAAGCATTGTTGCTACAAAATCTTTTTCAAATAATTCCACTCACATTCCAAAGTTACCAAGCCAATGTTCAAATCTTGTACAAGTCATAGGACACTCTAAAGCAAGTTCGTAGCCTTTGTGAAAAGCAGCAACATCTCAGGTATCTAAAACATCCACTTTTTGTTGGTTTATTAAACGATACACTGTCCCTAGCATAGACTTACTTTGTGTTATCCCCCTCGCTGCTGCTGACTGGACACAATGTCTAGCAAGTCTAGATTTCTTGTGGTGCTGGGCATATCCACTACATACTTTGACATCCTATAGATTTCAGCTCCTTTCTCCTTTAAACTGAAGGAAATCTGAATGTTTTGTCCGGAGCTGGTGGAAGAGGTCCTCATTTCCCTTTCCCTTCCTTTAGCTTTTCCCTCCATTTGGCTCCTGACAGATGTACCATCTCAACAGAAGTCTGCTTGGGCTTAATTTTTAAGCCTGAACTGGATCTCAGCCCACCCCACCCCAGCCCGAAAGGGTCAAATCATTTTCCAACATGAGCTTTCCCTCCAAATCTGCTGCCACTGCCTCCAGCTCGTGGGATCAGTGCGGCTGCACGTGCCAGTGACTGTGTGGCCTGCTGCTGCTCTTCCCCACCCTCTGCCGTGCTGCCTGTGTGCCGTGGAGTGAGAGGCCGACTCTGCAGCACACACACTGTGCTGTGAGGTGGCAGCAACTGGCAGGAGTGGGGCACGCAGTTGCCACCACCATGCTATCCTCGGGGCAGGAGGAGGAGACCCTACCCAACTTGTGTGTGAGAGGTTCCAGTTGTCTTCCTGCCTTGCCAGGACACGATCCTTGCTGTCAGGCCCTTTCAGCTCAGCCCCGCCCTGCCCCTTTTCATCCTCTTACTCTCTCTCCAAATAAAATACAAGGTACAGCAGAAGTAAGCGCTCATTTTTAATCCAGATGTTAAAGCTAAATCAGAAAAGAGATGGGCAGGGACACTGTGTTTACCAATCAGAGTGCAGTTTTTACAGTATTTCTCTACCTTTCCCTTCCTGTCCATGTTTAGGCCCCCCAGCCTTCTTGCATGTAGGTGACTGCACCACAGATGGATTGGGGCCTTCCTTCCCCTCTCATTTTGGGTCTGATCTAATACCAGTTAAAGTCAACAGAAAGACTACAATTGACTTCAAAAAATATTCGCTCCGGCCTGTTGTCTCTTCCTTTCCAGGTTCCCTGAACAGTAAGGACAAGTGCGTCTGATCATGGGGTACTTGTTCAGCATGGAACAGTACATTGCAGTTAGCAAAATTTACCTTCTAACATTCCCAGACTCATAAATTTTGTTTTCATCAAACACCTGAAGACCTCGAGAGACGTGGTCATAAATCAAAATCTAATTAATTAATTGAATAGTATTTCACTCTGGCACAATAGAAATTGTAATTAACACATCTGATGAAAATTCATGAAACTGAATTTATCAGAGAGAGACAAGGCTGTTGGTCCTTTTCCCTGTTCATAAAACAGACAATTAAAACCAAATTCACCAGCTGTCTTGTTAACTCTGTTCATGTGGTTTAAATATGCTTTTAATAAAGTTTTAAAAGGATGATAATTATGTGTTCACTAAATAGAATCATAGAGATTAAAAAGGGCCTGTTAAGTGACCTAGTCCATCCTCTGGCAGTGCAAGTGTGTCCCGTTCCCCTATTTTCTAGTTCTTTGCCAAGTCTAATTTTGATACCTAGTTGAACCCTGATTGTGTAATCAGATGCATGCAAGCAGACTCTTGT